AGGTGAGACTTTGAGGTTCTGGAGATGAAGACTGGGGAACCATCACCAATTACTTTGCTTAGGTCATGACAGTTGCCAACAAGATGAGAAGCAATAGTGAACAGATGAAGGATGTGACGATTGTAAAGAAAGTCCTTATAACTTTGACCGAGAAGTTTAACTATGTCGTTTCTCGATCGAAGAATCTAAGAACATCGACAATCCTTCAATTGATCTGCAGAATTTCCTCATTGTCCATGAACAAAAGTTCAATAGAAGTAGTGGTGAAGAGCAGGCACTGGAAGTAACACATGACGGTTACAGTGGAAGAGGAAATGGAAAGGTTGCATTCAGAGGCAGAGGCGGGGGACGTCAATCTTACAACAAGGCAATGATTGAATGTTTCAATTGTCATCAACTAGGACACAATTAGTACGAGCGTCCAACTGTTGGAAAACATGCAATTTATGCAGAGCTGGATGAGTTAGATGAAATGCTTCTTATACCTTATGTTGAGTCGCATGGAGTAACTCGTGATGATGTATGGTTTCTCGACTCAGGTTGTAGCAACCACATGTGTGATGATTTATCTTTGTTTCATGAGCTAGATGAGGGGTTCAAACAGACAGTCTAGCTAGGAAATCAAACATGGATGAATGTTGTTGGAAAAGGAAGTGTGAGCCTATCTTTGGAAGGTGTTAATCACTTTGTAACATGGTTGTTTTATGTGTCGAAATTGAAAAATCATCTTCTTAGTGTCGACCAGCTACAAGAGAAGGGGTTAGCTATCCTAATTCAGTCAAATCAGTGCTGAATCTACCATCCTTTAAGGGGTTTGATTATTCAAACAGATATGACAACCAACAAGATGTTTGTTCTGCTGTCAAACAGGTAACCAATCAAGAGGGAGGCTGACAAAGTGTGTTTTCAAGCTTCCTCTCAAGATCTAGCTAATCTTTGGTACCACAGATATGGCCATCTCAGCTACAAGGGTCTCAAGACTCTTCAAAGCAAAGGAATGGTAAGAGACTTGCCAAGTTTTTCTGAATCCATTATTGTATGTGGTGATTGCTTGAAAGGGAAACAATATCGAGATCCTATTCCAAAGAAGAGCCACAGAAGAGCATCTTAGAAGTTGGAACTCATTCATGCAGATATATATGGGACTATCACTCCTGCTTCTAACAGTCAAAAGAGGTATTCATTGTGCTTTATTGATGATTATAGTAGGAAAGCATGGATTTATTTTCTACTTGAGAAATCAGAAGCTTTCAATTCTTTTAAGTGCTTTAAGAGTTTTGTGGAGAAAAAAACTAGTCTGTCTATCAATTGCCTGCGTACTGATAGTGGGAAGAGTTTAATTCAACTAAATTTATAGAATTTTGCATGGAAAATGGGATTAGGAGGCAATTAACTATAGCTTACACTCCACAACAAAATGAAGTGGCGAAGAGGAAAAATGGGACTGTAATGAACATGGTCAGGTCAATGCTTTCAGAAAAGAGGATTCCCAAAACATTCTGGCCTGAAGTAGTGAACTAGTCTGTGTATGTTTTAAATAGATGTCCTATATTTGCTGTTAAGAATGTGATTCCAGAAGAGGCTTTGAGTGGAAGAAAGCCATTGGTTGAACATTTTAGGGTGTTTGGATGTGTGGCACATATACATGTACCAGATGCAAGAAGAACTAAGCTTGAAAACAAAAGCTTTAGTTGTGTGTTGATTGGAGTAAGTGATGAATCTAAAGCCTATAGGTTGTATGATCTAGTTAAAATGAGGGTTATGATAAGCAGTGATGTTATTTTTGAAGAAGACAAGTAGTGAGATTGGGATGCAAGCTATGAGGAGCAGGTGTTGGTGGATTTGGAATGGTGTGATGATGAAAGTGGTGGTGACACTGAAGAAGGTGGCGAGATTGTTGCGGCTGGAAGTAGTTCTCTAAATGCTATAAGGAGGCAGAAAAGGACTCTAAAGGGAGGCTAGCCATGGATGCTAAGATAAAAGCAATTGAGGAAAATGAGACATGGAGGTTGACTGAGTTACCGACTGGAGCCAAGAATATTGGAGTAAAATGAGTTTATAAAACCAAGCTTAATGAGTTTGGTGAGGTGGAAAAGTTTAAAGCTCGATTAGTTGCAAAGGGTTATGCTCAACAACATGGTGTAGACTACACGGAGATTGCTCCAATTGCAATGATGGATACTATATGCATGATCATTGCTTTGGCCGCACAAAGGAACTGTCCTATCTATCAACTAGATGTAAAGTCTGCTTTTCTCCATGGAGAATTAACTTAGTATGTCTTTGTTGAACAACCAAAAGGCTATGAATAGAAAGGTTCAGAAAACAAGGTCTACAAGCTGCATATGGCCTTATATATACTGAAACAAGCTCCTCGAGCTTAGTTTAGTCGCATAGAGGCCCATTTTCTGCGTGAAGGATTTCAGAGATGCAACAGTGAACAAAATTTGTTTATCAAGCAAAGAATTGGAGGTGAAATTTTAGTTATCAGCGTTTATGTTGATGATTTAATTTTTACTGGTGATGGTGATCAAATGATGTTAGAGTTTAAGGAGTCAATGCTGAGAGAGTTCGACATGACTGATTTGGGGAAGATGAGGTTTTTTCTTGGCATAGAAGTGTTGCAGAGAGATGATGGAATATATATTTGTCAAAAGAAATATGCATAGGAGGTACTAAGGGATTTTTGTATGGAGGATTGCAATGGATTTATGAATTCTATTGTTACTGGTTTCAAATTGGGCAAGGATGAAGAAGGAGTCAAAATTGATGAAAGTTACTAAAAAAAATTGTAGGCAGTCTCATGTACATTATTGCTACAAGACCGGACTTAATGTTTGTAGTGAGTTTCATTAGCAGGTTTATGTCCAAACCTACAGAATTACACTTGCAGGCTGCAAAGAGGGCACTAAGATACATGAAGAGCACTGCTGATTATGGAATCTTTTACAAGAAAGGAGGGAACAAGGAGTTGATTGCTTTTACTGACAGTAATTATGAAGGAGACTTAGAGGACATGAAGAACACTTCTGGTTATGTTTTTTATGCTGAGTGGAGGAGCGGTTTCTTGATCCTCAAAGAAGCAGCCCATTGTCACGCTTTCAACTACCGAGGCATAATTTGTGCAGCTGCAGTTTGTGCATGCCAGGCAGTTTGGATGAGAAAAATTCTGTAGAACTTGAGTCATGAACAAGATGGTTGCACTACTGTTCTGTGTGATAATAGCTGAACTATCAAGCTTTTGAAAATTCCAGTTATGCATGGACGCAGTAAGCACATTGATGCGTGGTTTCATTTTTTGCGTGATTTGACTCGAGATGGAGTTGTTGAGCTGGTGCATTGTGGTTCAAAGGATCAAGTGGCAAATTTGATGACAAAGCCATTGAAGTTGGATGCATTTATGAAGCTTCGTGGAGAACTGGGAGTGTGCAAAGTTCCAAAGATAAACTAATGTTGGTCATTAGTTTAAGGGAGGGATTGTTGGAAGAGGTTGCTTAAGTTTAGGACTGTTGGAATAAAGCCCTATTCTTCAGGGTTTTTGGCGTTTGTTTTGACCCTTTCTAGTTGTTGTTACCACTAAGTACACTACATGCTTTTGTGGGCTGTTTTTCTCATTCTAGTTAAGATTGATGTATCTATATGGCTATATATAAAGGTCTCCGTTGTTATCAATTATATTAAGTTATTCTTAGATCGTTCTTTGCATTCTTGTTTCAGTTCTTGAGTTCAAGTTATCTAAACAGTACAGTACATAAAAAAAATTAAAAAAAATTGTTGTAGAAATAATTGGAAAATTTTTGGTAAATAATTATTTCCAAAAATAATATTTCCTTATCAGCGACAGGGACGCAAAAATCCATCACTGAAGCTGGGATCTTTCTTGTAGTTGGAATTAGTTTGATGCCCTCTTATAGTAAGTATATTGTAACGACATTATGAATTAATGTTCTATTATTCACGTGTTAGAATTTCCTGCAATAATTTAAAATTCCATGATCATATGAAATAACAAATTGTATACTCAACGATTTAGGTATAGTGAGACACAATTTGTTATATGATCAAAATATGTCGTTCACAATCAGTACATGAAGTTGGAAGCTTTATGTTGATAATATTGTATTGTTCTTATTGAAATTTGTCTATATCTGGGAATAAGAATAATAACGTGTTTTGAAGCACGTTGAATGAGACCGTGTGAATGACTTATTTGAGACCGCTCGAAATGAGATGCCACTCAATTATCGAACAAGTTACCTAAATCCTGAGCAAGTAATGTACCTTTAATTGCTAGTTCAAGTTCTTTGAGCTATCAATGAGTGAAGTCTTAAATTAGAAGATCAATTTCGGTACTTTGGGAATCATGGAATCCGTTAATCATCATGATGAGACGATCGTCACTCTAAGATATTTTCTAAAGGGCTTGAACTTGAGCTCAGTAGTCCGACAATGAGATCGTTGGAATTCGCCTTATGAAGTCGGACTCAGAGAGNCCTGTATTTTTGGTAGAGTAAGCCGAGATTAATAGATATATCTCAATTGGTCAAGTGTTGACCCAATTGGAAATATCTATTGGATTTTGTGTCTTGTGAGTCCGGTTAGGTCCCTTTTTTGGCTCCAATAAAGGTGTGTGACTTAATTGGTCTACTACAATAAAGTCCAACGATATTTGTTCAAATATGAAACCCTAATGGTGTGTTATAAATCTACCCTTTAAGGGCACATTTACAAAGGTTAGGGTTTTAGCCATTTTCATTCTCTCGAAATGAGGAGAGGCATCTAAGGAGCATAAGGGAGAAGATCTAAGGGATAAAGCATTTGGCTAGGCCTTTAAAAGTTCCTTCAAGGTTATCATCTCACCCTTTACGTGTTAGGATTTAAACAGAAACGTCATATGATCTCAAGGTGATCTAAGATCCACCATGCTTTTGGGTTGAATCGTCATAGGAAAATTAATTTCCTTTTTGTAATGATTAAATATCCCCATTCCAACAGGAATAATGGGCATGTTCCAAGAGGTTGCACGCCTCATACCTGTTTTATTGCCTAATGCAGCTGTAGGTCTTTTGAAGAGCAATAGGATGCATGCAATCGTCGGCCTTGAGACATCAGTAGAAGACGAGTTATTTTCTATGCTGACAAAGAAAGCCAAAATTCCTATATTTTCTTTTGCTCCAACAGTTGCCTCTTCTACCGAATATCCTTACATAGTTAAAATTCGATCGGATGAGACATCAAAGTTCGAAGGCATTGCTTCTATTGTCAAATCACTTGAGTGGAAGGATGTTGTTCTTATTTATGAAGAGGATATTGAAAATGAGAGAAAAACTATACTCCATTTGCGGGAATCATTTGAAGGAAAAAATATTCACATTTCTTATAGAAGTGTCATTTCTTCGTCCTTCAGAGATTTTCAAATCCTTAAAGAGTTGCATAAGCTTATGACCTTTGAAACAAAAATATATATAGTGCACATGACCCTGCGTCTCGTATCTCGCTTTCTTGTACATGCAAAGAGATTGGGAATGATGAAAGAGGAATATGCTTGGATCGTTACAGATAAAGCCATGAATTATGTGCATTCCATGGACTTCGAAGTCATTGAATCATTGCAAGGGGCCTTAGGTTTCAAGCCGAGTATTGCATCATCAAGCAAGCTGCACAACATCACATCAAGATGGAGAAAGGAATATCATTCTGGGGACTCCAATATGGTATCCAAAGAGTTACCTGTAGTCGGCATATGGGCATATGATACAATGCAAGCGCTAGCAGAAGCTGTTGAGAGGGTAAGCATTGAAATTTTAAATGTTGATGATCATGAAGCAGGAATTGGGTCCATAGAATGGCCCAAAAATCTTGTAAATTCTCATGGCGGCATGTTACTTCTGCATGAGGTTTCTCAAGTTAGATTTGAGGGTTTAAGTGGTGAATTTCAGTTATTGAATGGGAAATTATACCCTGAGGAATTCAATTTGGTGAATATTTTACAAGGCTTTGAAGAACAAATGGTGGGAATATGGAGGCCTAAAGAAGGAATCTTGAATAACATGTACTCATCAGTTTGCAGTATGACTCCTAGAAATTCCAAGGCTATTATGTGGCCTAGGGGGTGTAAACTTACTCCCAGAGGTCGTTTATTGCAATCTATGAGCCCCAAAAAGCTTAGAATTGGGGTAGCAGTGAGATGTAGTTTTAAAGAGTTGGTAGACGTTCGTTATGATCCTCAACCCAACGCACCAACCTTCTCTGGCTTCTGCATTGATGTCTTCAAATCTGCCATTGAGGACTTAACTTATGAAGTACCTTATGAGTTCGTCCCACTTTTGAATGGAAGTTACAATGACTTTGTCCGCCAGGTTTATCTTAAGGTATTACTTCATATCTTGTCATGGCCGTATATTTAACAATAGAATTCTAACTAGGGACTTATTTCTTGTTTGATTTTGAAATGAAAAGGAAAGAAATTAGTCCCTGGCTAATAATTATTCTTAAATTCACGTTAGTGTCATTACTGACATATTTGTGGAATGCTGGTTACAAAATTGCGCAGAATATCGATGGCCTGGTGGGAGACGTAACAATCTTAGCCAATAGATCTTTGTATGTGGACTTTACAGTATCTTTCACCGATTTGGGAGTGGGAACACTAACGCTAACCAATGAGGACATTTGGAGCTTTTTGAGGCCTCTTGATACTAAATTGTGGCTAGTGTGTGGTGCATTCTTTCTCCTAACAGGCTTTGTAGTTTGGGCCATCGAACGGTCTAACAACAATGATGAATTCAGACAAGGTTCAGTAGCTTTTCAGGTTGGCACAATCTTCTGGTTTGGCTTTTCTACCCTGGTTTTTGCTCATAGTAAGTACATTATTTTTTCATGGAAAAACAAAATACTGCCTGATTTCTATGTCTTCTGAGGTTGAAATTTAGTATATATTTTAATGCATGGAGCACTGCAGGTGAAAAATTAACGACTAATTTGTCAAGAAGTGTAGTGCTTGTATGGGTTTTCGCGGTGCTCATCTTGACTTCGAGCTATACTGCTACACTAAGTTCTCTCCTGACGGTGCAACAATTTCAGATGGGATCGACGGGGGAGTTCTTGGGAGTACAGGGTGGCTCCTTTGTAGGTGAACTTGTAGCTAACAATTTAAATTTCCAAGATCAACGCCTTAAGCGCTACGATACACCTGAAGAATATGCTGAGGCTTTGTCAAGAGGACACAAGGATGGTGGCGTGGATGCTATCATTGATGAAGTCCCATATATCAAGATCGTCTTATCAAAGTACTCTCGCGATTATTCTGTGATTGCATCTTCATCTACCACCAATGGTTTTGGCTTTGTAAGTACCTTGTTTATGTGAATTAAAAACATTTATGCATCTTCTATTAACTCTCCAAGTAATTGAAACTTATTCATAAATCACATGTTACAGATTCAACTACATAAATTCTTTTTGGTGTTGAATTATTTGTCTTGCTCTCATTGTAGGTATTCCCCAAAGGTTCTCCACTGGTTCCTGATATATCAAAAGCAATTATAAAGCTAAGGGAAGAAGGGAAACTATTAAAGATGGAGAGGACATGGTTCAAGACTCAATCATCCTTGTTACCCAAAGATGCTGTGACTAATACCAACAAATTGAATTTTGATCAGTTCGGCGGTTTATTTCTTGTCCTTGGGATTTGTTTAGCTACAGTAATTGCCATATACATCACTCAACTATTGCTGGAAAGGTTCCAACGCCCAAGTCTTTATATCACTCTTGTGAATAGAGGGGTTCTAGCCTTCGTACTAAGGCAATTTTTCCAGACAAATGCACTATATTCTAGATAGGACAGTTTTCTAACCCTAGGATTTGAAATTAAATTTATTTGAATTCCCAATTTATATACCTTTTTATGTAATAGAATTTAAATTAATGCATATGATAAACCTGTCAATAAGACCATTTCCATGAACCAAATAATTTCCAATTATTTAGCCTCCGTTTGACAAACTTTATAAATTGTCAAATTTCATTTTCAAACAAACATTTCAATAAAGATACAAGAATTAGAATGTTTATAAAATATTATAACTCATTTTTATCTATTTAAAAATTAGAATGTTTATAAAATATTTCGACATTTAATTAATTTTAATTTTATGAAGTTAATGAAACAATAATACAAAATATGTGATAGAGTTGGTTTTCCCTTTGTAAAATATGTGGTATGACAAACAAAGCTTCTGCTAAAAAGTAAATCGTCAAAAATATTACGAACTTATTTACACTGTCAATATTTATTTTTCTTTCTTATGGAAAAAGGGAAAAAAAATTACTTGTTTCCTACATGGATTACATTTTCAAGGGTTCAAACTACAAGTTCAAATACTTTTTATTTCTCTAAGGAATTCAACTTCGTATTTATAACTTCTTCCACTTTGGTCAATTATTTTTATGTAGATAGTCTATGGTTTATATCCTCATTTTACCTAATTTCAAGAGTCACGTTCAAGGAAAAAATAGTTGCCTAATAATAAGATTATTTCTTTCCCATAATATTCTCACTATTTTCAAATATTTATGGTTATGCGGGTATAGTACCAGTTTTGATTGATTAATTTTTGCTTTTAAAGGTTTTAGTTGATTTTTCTCTTATACTTTTCTCTTTCGATGTACTGAATCTTTGACACAAACTGATTGACAAGAATTAGTACTTATTTGATATTCATTTGCTAAATAGATTTTCCTTCAAGGATGTTAATTTTTACTAGAGTGTTTTTTACTGGCACATATGACTTTGTCACATATGACTTTGTCACTTTTATTGTATCAATAAATATATTAAGTAATTTATTTGCAACTCTTTGCAAGTGAATGATTTTTCAACCTTTAGCTCACATTATTCGATACGGTAATCAAAGTGAGATGGAGATTGTTTCATTCCAACAAATTTTACCATCTTTCAAGATGTAGTTTTGCCCCTCCTAATGTAGAGAAAGAGGGATTATTCAAATAACAATTTGCAAAACATGCAGTAAATAAACTATCATTTAAGGTTCATAGTACCTAATAATGGAGGTGAATCAAAATCAACATAAATTTGAAGTCTTTGTTTTAATCTATTTCTGTACTTTTGTGGGGGTGAACTTAGGACTTGGACAATACAACTGAAAACTCATAGGTGAAAAATATTAGGTATGTGACAAATATAAGTTGTGAAGCTGAGTACTAATGATAGGTAGTTGGTCTTATAGAAACCAATGATGTAGTATATAATATAATATGACCCCAAACAAAAGCAAGAAGTTTTGTTTTCATAAGTAACGGTCGAGCAATAAACTATAGACGTTTAATAAATGAATATGTTAAGTCAGTTTTTGTATATACATGAACAATCAAATATTCAATGACAATTTAAATTGACATATAATACTAATCGAATGCTTATAATCTAAATTCACTAGCATTATCAAGATGAATTGATTAAGTAACAAGGAATTGAGATCGTAATTTTATGATTTGAGCAAGTAGTCTAACAAAAGTTACATTCTTAATGTAAAAAAAAAAAAAAAGACATGCAATCACCTATTAGAAGAATCAATTAAAATAATAAAATAATGGAATGATCCACATAGTGGGTGTACTGACTGACATATATTTTTATGAATTCTTTCCAAAAAAAAGTGGGAGATTCGTCATAAACTTTTGTAGTGGAAGGCTTGATCTCCATCTTGCTTTACAAATAAGAAGTTTAATGGATAATTATTAGGTAAAATATTTTTTGATTCATTAGGAAATGTTCATATGAGTTGTTAATTATTCATCGCATTATTATTGCTCTTGAATGTCCAAGTTCACCATGCCAAATTACAGATTTGTTTGTCGATAAACTTCGAGTTTATGATAATATTCGATTCAATACATGCCAGAGGGGGAGTGTTTTGAGTGCTTCTTTTATGTGCATCTGGCCAAATACAAAAACAAAAAAGTTATAGAAAAATGTTCAATATCAATTCTTTTGAATTAACTCAATATGATATCTATTACACCGGATATTTTTAAAACTAATCAAATTCTTTCTGGATTTGCTGAAATAAAAATACACAGTCCATAATATAATTTTATATTATTTGATAAGATAATGCTAGCTCTTCCAGAGCTTTTACTGACATTTGATGTACCTGATATCTTATTATCATTAGTTTCTGTTAATATTTAGTCCAAAGAATACCTTTTGTCGTAAACAATAAAATCTGAAGTTTTACTATCAACTAAATTGATATCTTGACAATTCATCATAAGTATATTAACATGACCAAATAGGTATTTTAAAATTTGAGTTTATAACAAAAATGAGTTAAAGAAATACTTCGGTCAACTATAGAATGGTTTAACAATGCAAATAGAAGTCTTAAACTTTTAAAAATATAAAAAAATATTTTAAACTAAACTTTTGAATCAGAAGGAAATACTGAGACATTGAAAATAAACTAATCAATATATTCAGCACACCATCCATGATCAAATGATAACAAAAAATCAGAGATATTTAAGTGAGTCATATCAAATGGGCCAAAAATTGTCTCCACTTTTCATTTTCCGTTGATTGTTTTTTGGCAAAAATTCTTAAATACTTTGCTATATGACAAGTACTTTGCTATATGACAAGTACATAAGAAATGTGATTTCATCTCAAATCTGAAACGACTTTATTCGTACTCATTTTGGATATATTGCTTCGTTTGGTTTGTGCTTCATAAAATTATTTTCTTGTTGATAGTTTTGTCGATTATTTCTCTTATGATCTTGTCCGTGTAACTGTTCACGTATGCATCGCCAACCTTCTTCACATTCATGCCCATTTCTTGATGTTGCATTTGTTTCAGGAATGCTGCGGCAATAATTGAACATAAACTATGATTTTCGTTAGTAATTCATTGTTTTGTTTAGCTACGAATATACAAGATATGAGTTTTGAGTACTTTTTGAAATCACGCTCAAGATATTATTGCTCCAAGAGTACATTCGAGGCATGGAAAGTTGAGAAAGATTTTTCCAACATCTTCATTTTTCTCATCGAAGTAAATTTTGAACATTTCAAAGTTGTACTCATTAACAATTCTAAAGTTCTATAAGCGAAGGTACATCTATTAATAGTAGGATTTGGGAAGAGCTACAGTTGTGTAGTTGTCAAATCTTTTGGTTAGTTTTTTCCAAAGAAACTGTGATTCCTTCACGAATAGTTACTCGATTTTCAATCCATCTTTGCGACAGTGACAACAGAATATAAGTAATTTTGCACGATTATGCAATATTTCTTTGTTTTCATCTTTTATTATTTCTCCCAAACCCTATGATATAAAATGAATTTCGGCATCGAGAGTTCATGACACTACTAAAA